ACCACACAGTGCATGTTCAGTATTACACACACAGACATACAAACTACCACACAGTGCATGTTCAGTAATACACACACAGACACACAAACTCCCACACAGTAATAAACACACACAGACCAACATTCTTTGTGTTCAGTAAGAAACACATATCCACACATTATGTATTCAGTAATAAACACACAAACACACCCACACACTTTATGTTCAGTAATACACACAAACTGACACACGCTGTGTGTTCAGTAATAAACACAGAGACACATACCCACACACTGCGTGTTCAGTAATAAACATACATAGACACACAGTCATACATTGTGTGTTCAGTAATAAGCACACATACACACACACTCTGCATGTTCAGCAATAGACACACAGACCAATGCAGTGTGTTCAGCCATCAACACAGATGGACTCACACCCAGACAGTGTATGTTCAGTAATGTTCAGCAATAAACACCGACACACACAACACACTGTGTGTTCAGTAGTAAATAAACACAAATGGACACGCCCCCACACATTGCATGTTCAGTAATAAACACATACAAATGCGCACACTGTGTGTTCTATAATAAACCCATAATGCACTAACTGCATGTTCAGTAATAAACACACAGATGTATACACTTTGTGTTCAGTAATACACCCAAATGCACACACTGTGTGTTCTATGATTAAACCCATAATGCACTGCATGTTCAGTAATAAACACACCCAGGCGCTCTCTGTGTCTCAGGCTCTTTCTCTTTCTGGCTCCCCTTTCGCAGCCCTGCTCACCACCAGGCCCCCGAAGGTGCTGAACCCTGCGGAGAGGCAGGCCACTGCCATCTACGTCCAGCTGGGTGAGTCCTCCCCACCATGCCTGCAGACTCGCACGGGTCGAATCCAGACTGGCCGGTGGGGCTAGCCTATAAAACACGGCGTAACAAAGCACTCTGTGCATTTGCAAGGAATCACCAAGAGGAGAATCAGTCTCAGTGCATGGGCCCGAGGGGACAGAAACGCGGAACGCGCTGAGAAAATGTCGCATGCGAGGTCAGTCACTGGCGTGTTTAATTATCGCGTCCCGTTACCTGGGGGAGGGACGCACTGACACGCTCTATCTGCACTCGCACGGCAAATAATTACGATGACGAAAACGCAATTATTGTTTTCACTCTTCGGCCCCGGCAAAAAGAACATGCTCGCAGTTTCCCCAGTCGCATCCGGGGTTTAACCCATCACCGCTTCATTTTCTCAAACCCGGGAATATGGAGCACGGTGCTCCTGGAGGAGTTCAGGAAGACAGGAAGGCGATTTCGCTTCTCCCTCCTTTTTTTTGGGACCCTGCGTGCTTCTCGCCATAGCGACACTCTTTAAATCTCACTGGCTGCTCAGGACGGTTGACAATAACAAAACAATTTGAAGAAAAGGCATATTTAAGCTGTCTGTCGCCACTAAATTACAGACCATTATTCTGCACACGTCGGCAGCGGGACCGCGGGGAGACAGCCGAGGAGATGGAGTTTCGGGCCCCCGCGGTGCCAGAAAGATGCCTCCCACCTCCCCGCTCGCGCTCAGATGGCGCTGTCTGTGTCCCCCGGGGAACGGAATGGGGGGGAGGGGTTCTGCCTCTTGCTTCCTGGTATAGCTCCCCAGGACGTCTTGGACAGGGAGACTCCTCCTCAGGCAGGTGTCCCCCATGTTTGGGTGCAGAGGCCCTGTCTATCTTTGGTATATTGATGGTGTTTGCAAACCCCCCCCCCCCCCCATCTGCAGCACCCCCTCCCTCTGGTGGTGTGTCTAGCAGACGTGTTTCCCACCACTGAAACCATGCTTTTGCCTGGGGCCCCTGAGGTTAGGCCCCCCTGTTGGCCACAAACAGTCACTACACTAAATATTAAATAAACAACCCTTATATAAGGGGATGATGAAGCAGCATGTTCTGCTAACCAGCTAGCTAGCTATGATCTTCTGACCCTACTTGTCACTTGACCCCGGAATCAAAGCAGATCCCTTCTGTATGTCTACATCCGTTACCAGTGACATGCCGCGGCCGAGAGTGACCCAGAACCTCCAGTTAAGCCCGCCCCCCCCCCCCAAGCCTGATCTCATTGGAAATCAGAGTCTGGTTTTGCCTCCAAGCTTTGGCCACGATGGGGGTGCTGATCCCAGAATAAATGGGGTCTAGCAGAAAGCTGGGAAGCCAAGGGGTGGGTTTGGAGCAGAAAATTGCAGGTTTGCATCCCAGGGAAGGGTTGCAGGCTCATCAGACTCTATAAGACGGTGAAACAGCCGGCATGTCTGACAGGGAAGGTTCTCACAAAATTAATCCCTTCCTCAACGTGGCATCTTCTCTATAGTTTGTTCTGTGACTAAAAGGCCATTGGTCACTGCCTTTTTGGAGAACTTGTGCCATTGGTCACTGCCTTTTTGGAGAACTTGTGCCATTGGTCACTGCCTATTTGGGATACTTGTGCCATTGGTCACTGCCTATTTGGGGGACTTGTTCCATTGGTCACTGCCTATTTGGGGGACTTGTTCCATTGGTCACTGCCTTTTTGATGGTGTTCAGACAGACTCAGACTGACCCCAAGTACTTAAATATTTGCTTTAAGCAGCCCTCCCCAGCCCTGAGTCGGTTCTGAACCCTCATGCATCTAGATAATGGACTAAATCCGCTTTGGAATAACTTTCATTTCCGCATAAAACCAACCAAAAGAAAGCATGTTATGTGATGTAGTATGAAGATACTATGGCCGATATGCGTGTTTTTCTACATAATGATATTCCTTAGTCTTTAATCATCTTCAGTTGATGCAGTCTTTAAGTTCACAGATCAGCATCAATGACCGATCACATAGGACATGAGGCAGGCGGATTCGGCGCATGTCCCCATTAAGCCGGAAATGGTGGTACTGGGAAGAAGCTGTCAGAAGATCCCAGGTGAAGTGGTTTCCCCCTGCACAGGAAGCAGAAGGCGCGGGGAGGAAGTGATTAAGATTCAGAGGCACAAGCCTACCTGCCTTCAGACACTATTCTGTATGTGAGTCGGCCACCAGCTTCCTGGTTTCCACTGATGAATAGGCCTCAGGTATACACATCTCACATTTTCACGGAGGCGGGAACGCGTGCCATGTTGCTCCTTGGGTGTCTCCAGGAGGTTCCTCCTTCTGGGTTTAAAACATCAGCTCCAGTGACCTGAAGACCCCCCCCCCCCACCGTTCAGCCACTTGTGTGACTGATGAAGAGGGAGGTCGCTGAGATGAAGCCTTGGGCCCCGTCTGATGTACTCGCTCGCCAAGGCCTCGCTTCCCCAGCCACTCCAACCCTGCCCCCTCCTCATAATAAAAATTTATTTTCCAATTTATCAAGCGGCAGAGTTGTCCGTGACTGTGGCGTCTATAAATGTCACAGGCATTCTTTTGCCTCGGTTCCCAGAATGGGATGGCGAGGGGGAAGGGGGGGGGGGATAATGACCCGGAATCTCCATCTCAACCCCTGTCAGGGGCTTGGTGGTTTAGATTTACATATCTGCGACCAAACTGCAGGGAAACCGGCACTGGTGGGTCACACTGGGGTGCAGACAGCACCCAGCGATGCCCCGCCTCCAGCCCACGCCGTGCATGGAAACCTGCAGCCCCAGAGAATCTGTAATTAATCGTCCCAAGCTGTCAGAAGCGGCAGGCCACAGCTGTCAGTGTTTAGCCACCGAGATGCTAAGCGTCCTGCAGATTTAATGGTATCGCAAAAGGCAGGACCCCATAACCTCTGCTCAAAATCGCTTTATTATTAGACCCCAGAGTGCCTGATGGGGGTGTGAGGGGAGTGACACTACGAAAGAGCCCCTTTGCCCCCCTCCACCTCCCCAGCCATATCAGGGCCGATAACGGGGCTCTCGTCCTTTTAGGGGGCAATTAGTTGAGACTGGATCTCTCTTCAGCCACAAGCCAAGGCCTTAGAGGGAAGAAACCAACCACTTGGCTTTCTGCCCCTCCTCACTGGCTAAGGACTGGCAGACGAATGCTGGGGGCCCCCAGAGGAATGCTTATGGGGGAATCTGGTGCCCCCCTGTGTTTGCAGAATGACCCTCTTTGCCTCGCTGGTGGATGCATGGACCAGAGTGCAACAGTGAGCGGCAGATGAATGCAGTCCTTCCGTCAACGTCGCGCGCGCTTACGCAGCGTATAAATACACACGGGTGACAGGCAGCGGAGGAGGCGGCTCACCCCGCCGGGCGCTTTGCGGGGCCCCGTGACAGGATGACAGAGTAATAGCGGGGGATGGAGTCATGAACTGAGCCACTTCTCCCTCTTTCTGTCATTTGTCATCGCAGGCATTTGAAGGACTCGTTTGCTACCTTCCCTCAGTCCTCATTCGGGCAGGAATGTCGACTGATTGGTGGAGTGATCGTAACCCTGATTGGGGAAGGGCTTATAGGAACTGAGTGATCGTAACCCTGATTGGGGAAGGGCTTATAGGAACGGAGTGATCGTAACGCTGATTGGAGGACAGCTTATAGGAACAGAGTGATCGTAACGCTGATTGAGGAAGGGCTTATAGGAACGGAGTGATCATAACGCTGATTGGAGGAGGGCTTATAGAAACGGAGTGATCGTAACGCTGATTGGAGGAGGGCTTATAGGAACGGAGTGATCGTAACGCTGATTGGAGGAGGGCTTATACAAACGGAGTGATCGTAACGCTGATTGGAGGAGGGCTTATAGGAACGGAGTGATCGTAACCCTCATTGGAGGAGGGCACATATGTACACACTCAGTTGAGAGTGAAGCTTGGGGTCCAAGCACGGGTTCAGACCATTTATCCGGTATCCCTGGACCATTTTGGAAGGGGGGGGTGGTTATGGGCCAGGCACGACGGAGATATGAGTTTTTTGGTGAGGGTGGGACTTGAGCTAGCAACCTTCTGGTCACAGATACAACGGCATGAAGGCATTACCTGCTGAGCCACACATCCCCCCAACTCTGATTGGAGGAGACACAGAGTGATCGTAACTCTTATTGGAGGAGACGCAGAGTGATCTTAACTCTGATTAGAGGAGAAGTGGAGTGATCGTAACGCTGATTGGAGAAAGGGCATCCTTAACAGCAGAGTAAGACTTCATGATGTAAGAGCATCAATAGATGGAAGCACATACACACACCTGCACATAGGTAGTAAAGCTCAGCACGTCAGCTCTGCTGGGTCCTTAGCTGGTGCCCCTGTGTGCCCCCTGCTGGTTGTGATGCCATAGTGCATGCTCTTTCTGGATTTTCCAGTTTTAGTTTTGTGCATGTGGGGTTTTTTTCTGTAGAAACCCGTGTTGGTACACACAGGTGCACACGCCATATAGAAGCCTCTGGAACCATCTTAACAGGAGCTGCAAAAAGTTTCTCTCTTTTTTTTTTTTTTTTTTTTTGGTTTGTGCAAAACTTTTCAGACGTCTAGCAGAAGGCCGTTGGACTGCAGACAGCCCCATCTGTGACGAGCACTTTGTCCGACTGACCCCAGGTGCTTTGTGGCACTAAATAAGAGCCCCAAGAAAGATCGGAGATGTGAGACCAGAGCGTGCCGCTGACAGGCTACCCCCCCCCCGGCAGTAACTCACGCCGATTCCGGCCTCGACGTTTACAGCCACTGAACTCCAGGACTGTGGCCTCAGGCTTTTTATTTTCTTTTGTACTCGTTCCAAAATAAATTCGGTAAATTATGCAGTTTTTCGTATCGCCTAATCAGTATGTTGGACAGACATTAATCTTTTCAGGTGTCTCACATTTATCTTATGAGTCATTTAGACCTGCATACTGGCACTGGGCTCAGATACGACATATACTGTGTGCAGCACATGGTTTTTATAAAATTA